CCTTGACTTTTGCTTATATATTCCTTCCTCAATCATATTCCATTTTTCCAGTTCTTTTCTAGCTTTCTTCTCTGCTTCAAACATATCCTTGCTCTGATTATTCTGCCTCATTTGAGCTTGCACATTTGCCAGTTCTTCTCTCTTCTGTTGTACCTTCTTTGTTATCCCTGTATATTCCTGCCTGTTTAAATTCTTCAGGCCATATTTTACCTTCTTTAGATTCTGCATTATACCTTCCATCTTACTGCCTTTATATTTCCAACCATTCTGCACTACTTTTTCAAACTCTTCATGTTCAGCTAGGCAATTGTAGAATTTGAATGGTCTCCTTCTGCTATCATTTTCCTGCCCCAATTCAATACTCAAAGGTGAGTGATCTGAGAACTGAGGATCTAGAATTTGCACTTGTATTGGTGCCATTTCTAGCATCCATTTGGAATTCACTATCCCTCTATCTATTCTACTATATACATGGTTATTTGTCCATGTAAACCCCCTTCCCACTGTAACTAGTTCTATCATTTGGCATTCCATCATAAATTCTCTGAAGTCCTTTATTTCATTCATCTGTACTTCAGTACCCTTCATTCTATCCTCCATATCCTTAATTGCATTGAAATCACCCATGAGAAGCCAATTTGTTCTTCCAACTCTCTCAAGTTGTTCCACAAATCACTTCTATTAGCTATTGTGTGTAGCCCATATACAGCTGTAAATGCAAACTGGACAGTGTCATTCCCATTCTTCACTATTCCATGTATGAATTGTTGATGAACCTTCAGCTGTGAAAACATTATCTTGTTAGGATCCCACATCAACCACATTCTACTTTTACCATTCACTGAGCTGTTTGCACACTATTTTCATCCAGCAGCTATTTTTGTAATCGTATTTTCAATCAAGTCATCTTTTATTCTGTGCTCTATTATTGCAATCATAGTTACTTTATTCACCTTTATAAACTCCTTCATCTCCTTTTGTTTATACACTTTGTTGAAGCCCCTAACATTCCACGTGACTATCTTCATGTTGTTATGATTTTTTGAGGTTCCTGCCTTGTATTCTCCTGCATCCTCTCCTGCTCATCAACTTTATCTGCCCAACTGTTTTGCTCCAGCATTGGATCCCCCCTCAAAGGAGTAAATCCATTTGTAATTTTTAGAGCAACTTGTTGTTGATTGATCTGCTTGTTATGGGAACTTCTTCCACTTGCTTTTTGCCATGCTTCTTTATCCTTTTCCTCTTTATCATTCTGCTCCTGTTTCCCTTGATTCCCTAATTCCTCCTCATTTTGTTTACTTTGTTCCTTTGCTACCCACTGTACTACAGGCTTCTGCACCTTAGATTGTTGTATTTGTCCTCCCTTCTTTTGTGCTGTTCTTTGCTGCTTTTGTTGTTCGTACCCCTGAGCTCTGTCTTGTGTTTCCCCATGTCCCTTCATATTGCTACAATCATGTCCAACCGTACAGCATTTTTGGTAGTAGGTTGGAACCCAGTCACATTCAACTTCCTGCTCAAAATTCTTCCCCGTTTGATCCTGCACCACAACACTCGTAGGAAGTTCTTTAGATATGTCCATCTCTATAAGCACCCTAGCATATGAAATTCTAGCTGCACTAGAGGTGCATTCATCGGCATACATTGGACATCCTAAAGTACTTGCTATCCTACTTAGTGTGATCTTCCCTCAGCAATTCAATGGCAAATTTGGAAAGCTCACCCATAATGGAATTTCTTTCAACACTTCATCATAGAAGTTAAAATCAGCAGTCCATGATTTAAGTATAATAGGTTTATTACCTATTGTGTGTGGTCCTGTGTACAAGACTTCATTCTTGTCCTCAATTATGTTGAACAACACCACAAAATAGTCCTCATTGTGATAGTATACTCTAGGCTTAGCAGCAAAATTCCAATTCGAGGCTATGAATCTCTCTATGGTTCCAATTGATGGTGCCGCTCCAATGACATACATCACCACTGCCTTTTTCCACTTCTCATTCTCCTCTTCCATTTCTTCCTGCTGCAATTGGGCCTTTTTTATCCCATCCTGAATCATTTGAGGGATAAACATAAGGTCCATTCCTCTTTCCGCCAACCTATTCCCTGCAAAAAGCTTTGCCCATGGCTTCTCTAATTTCCTTTCAGTTTTATCACTTTTCCCCTGCTCTTTCTGTTCTTCAGCTCCTTGTCTACTCGTACTAGCTTTTTCTTTTGCTGATACTTGCTCTGCGACCTCCTTCTTAGCAGTCGCGTCAACAGTATTCAGTGTAACAGTGTTCAATGGAACAGTACTTGTGGATCCAAACATCCCAATTGTTGTTGTAGGCGTCGACTTTGGATAGCTCCTTTTGTTACTACTCAAATTCACCGGTGTTTTCGACTTGATTACTTCACTTCCAGCTAGATCTGCTTGAATCAAACTTTTTCCTTTGTCATTGCTTAGGGTTTCCTTTGTAGCATTACTTTTTTCTTGACCATTGTTACAGCTTCCTTGACCTACAAATTCCGCCAATTGCATCTTCGTCGTGTTCTTCCTTGGTCGTCCTCGTCCCATTTCCGGTCATTGCTTAGGGTTTCCTTTGTAGCATTACTTTTTTCTTGACCATTGTTACAGCTTCCTTGACCTACAAATTCCGCCAATTGCATCTTCGTCGTGTTCTTCCTTGGTCGTCCTCGTCCCATTTCCGGTCAGCGTATTTTAGCATTCACGCTTAAAACGCGTCGTGTTTTTTTTTTCTGTGAGCCATATTATATTGGGTTGCTATCGTCAATGAAAACATACTCTTAGACACACAATATCTCCGCAACTATGGAAAATATTCCTTTTTCATTATTGGAATAGTCTTTGGTTAATTTTAGTGTTGTAGGAGAATTGATTTTGTTTGGTTTTTTTGGTGGCAACTATGACTATTTGCATTTGATAATTTTTTTTTTTCGTGAAACAATTTTAAATTTAGTTTTGGGAGTATTAGTATTTAAATTTTTTCCTGAAAAAATTGAATTGTTAAAATTAAAACGGAGTGATAAAAACATTTTTATAATAAGAAAAGATCATATGTTGGGCAAAGAATTTCTTTTTGGAATTTTTACTTCCTACAGCAAAGGTTGATACCTTATTTATTTTAAATAAATACCCTTTTAAAAAATTATATTCAATAGATACCTTTGGATTTTTATAGCCAAATATCTATTTATGGTTACCTCCTAAGACATATAAGCCATAAAATACGCTTTGTATTATTTTGCTCTCTCATTCTTTCAGATTTTTCTCCACCCTCTCTCTCTCTCTCTCAACCCAGTCTTTCTCCATGAATACAACCATGATTCTCCACCGATTCATCTCCATTGTCGAACGAAATTTTCATTGTCAATGGCCTGGGGCTCTGAATCAATGTCGAAATCAAGCCCTAGAATACAACCATTTTTTGATTTGATTTGATGTGGTTTTCCGGTTCGGTTTGTACACCCCCTACCTTTCCATTCCACCAAACTCCATCGGGATAAAAACACCCTTCTGGTTCGAAATTAAGTCGGTGGAATTTTTCATCTCCAAATACCGTGGAAAACAAAAGTGGATTCAGAGAAGATAACCCACGAAATAGGTAACCCCGATGGAGGAAGAAAGAGAAAAAATGGCGGTGATAGGGTTAATTGATAAAGCCACCAACTCCACTAGACCGGAAGTGGATCCCCGCCTTCTCAAAGCCATCAAATCGGTGGTCCGTTCCTCTGATTCGGAGCTCCGACTGGCCGCCCATACCCTAATGTCCCTCATGAAACGTGACCATCCTCAGGTCCCCCACCAATTTTTATAGTATTTGCACAGTACAATTTTGGTCGATAATTTTAATAGGGTAAATTGGGACTGACAATGGAGGTTCGAAATCTGCTATCGACGAGACGACATTAGGGTTATTCTTGAACGAAGACGACGGAGTTTGGGGCTGAGCAACTTGAAGAGTCTGTTACCTTTTTTTTCATTGTATTTCGATGTATCTCGTTGTATCTATGTATTTCATTGTATTTATTGTCTCTTTTTTTATTGTATTTCAATGTATCTCGATGTATTTCATGTATTTTATTGTAATCACTGTCTCGTTATATTCCATGAATGTATTCATATATTTTTTTAATTAATATAATTTATGTATTTATGTATTCAGATTTATAATTGAGTTTGTTGAGTTATATTAGGAGTCTATTATGTTAATTGATTCACTTTCCGTTTAAAAACAACTGAATAGACCATGAATTGCGCTATTTACGTTACTGTATTCACAAATACATATCGTGAATACAGTCGAATACAGTAATCTGTCTAGCTGTAATCCCTTGTTTCACCCCTGTAATCTAATCTCATATTTCATGCCGAGAAATGCTACTGTATTCATGAATACAATAGCTTAAATACATCGAATACACTTTAAAAAACCTGAAAACATAGCTATAGGAAATAATATAGCAAATGGTAGCTACAACTTGTGAAAATTTCTTTTTCTTTCTTGAGGAAGAACTAGCGAAAAACTTCATACTTTGGTCTTGTTATTCGAATTATATTTCTTTATTGGTTTGGAATATTTTTTAAAATGTTGATTAAATACTCCCAACTCAGTTCATCAAATAATATTTTAGAAATTGAAGAACTAATCTTTGGAGTTTTTAAATTTTTGAAAGACTTGAAAAAGTCAGTTCAGGAAAATGTGGAATAAATACTTGCCATGGAGCAAGTAGGCCTCCGACGACGTTTGACGGCTCTTAATCTAAAGTTCAAAATGACGTCATTTATGACTGGTATTGGTGACAAAATAGATTGGAAACAACCATTCTGTCCTCACAAGGTAGGGGTAAGATCTGCATACACACTACCTTTCCCAGACCCCACGGTGTGGGATAGTACTGTATATGTTATTGTTGTTATTTGTGACAAAATAGGTTACTAATCGATGATTGATTTAATCAAAGAAATGTTACATCTGGAATTTGAGGGGAATTTAACATTATATAACCTTGGACTCTTCCATCTCAAAAGCTAGCTTTTGGGTGTGGTTCTCGCTGAATTGTATTAATGGAGACATACAACCGTTTAATTGGCACTAAAAAGAACCAAAAAACTAAAACAGGAAACAGATGAAGCTTAAAGTACATGGGGAAAGCAGTCGGGCAAGGCGATTGGTGCAACGTTGTAGGGAAATGAAAACAGCATATCCCCAACAAATCTTACATCCACCACCAGTGCACTGTGTCCCAAAGACCTGAAAAAGCACAAAATTAAAATACATTACAATTTTTTAGAAAATTGCATCCAACAAAAGCTCCTCAGTTTAGTGATTCCAGGAAATGCAGATTTCAGAGATGATGTTCAAAGGTAGACAATCACATACCTCTATAGTTCATCCTCCGCTGAATCGTTTTGGCAGAGTCTGACTGAACAGGCTTGTCGCGATTCTTTTCAATAAATTCGATGATTGCCTCTTTTGTTCTATCACCATCATACTGTGACAATTTACCGGAGGCAGATTTGAAGTACATAGTAGGGAATCCCTGTACGTCGAATTGATCTTTTGGGAGATCATTCCGGGTTGCATCCTGCAAAGGAAAAGCAGATAAGGAAATGACCAATGATGAACAAAACAACTAATATATGAACATTTTGATGCATTTATCTGTTCTACGAGAGAATTTTGAACTCAGCTAATATGTGATCAAAAACAAAAGAATTAACGAGATGAGTGGGTCGGATATCCTTGTTAAAAAAGGGCAGCCCGGTGCACTAAGCTCACGCTATGCGTGGGGTCCGGGAAAGGGCCGGACCACAAGGGTCTATTGGACGTACCCTGCATTTCTGCAAGACGTTATTTCCACAGCTCGAACCTGTGACCTCCTGATCACATGGAGGCAACTTTACCAGTTACGCCAAGGTTTCCCTTCTCGGATATCCTTGTCAAGTTGATGAAAAAATTCTTACCAGTTCTGCAATCAGAACATCTGGATCACTTTCAAGTGATACGGCCACTTCATCCAAAATTGGAGCTAGCTTCTTGCAGTGGCCACACCAAGGTGCGTAGAACTCTAACAGTACTGCGCAGACAAAAAAAAATTAATCAGGATGAGCAAGAATTCATATAGATAATGTCACTACATCTGAGAAACGAGGAGCTTGATCAATCAATAGGCGAAAAAGATAAAATGGTAAACAATGTCCGTGCCTGTAGTCTAAAATCAAGCAATAATCCTTATAGCCTCTATAGGATATTTGAAGCATTTCATTATTTCTACTCTCTGTCGCTTTATATCTCAGTTTGTATTCAAGATATCCCAAAATAATCTTCTCATTCATTAACGGATTAGATTTACCTCATATATTCAATTCATCAAGATGACACCTTCTGTACCAATTTTTTGCTCGTTGCTCTTCAACAACTTTTGGCTCATTTCTCAACATACTACTACATATGATTTTTACTCTTTAAGTTCCACAATCAATTAATACACTACATCCAACTCTTTGTCACATCTTACACACTAGTAAAGAATAAAGATATGGACTAAACACTAAAGAGGCAGCGACGAAATGGTGTAACAAAGAAACGGTTCTCGCCCAACCAAAACAGGGAATAAAGAATATGACATGGATAGACCCGCACCGTTTTTCCCTGAGTTGAAAACCATATCCTGGAGGGTATCTCTAACAACCACCTTAACAGGTTCGTCATTGGTTTCAGGAATGGGCTGTGATTTTACATATGGCTTCAATTTTCCATCCTGTAACCATGTGGAAAATAAGAGGATAAAGGTTAGCCAAGCCTTCTGTTCAATCCAGAATATTGTTCACAACTGATTACGTTTTATCCCAAATATCCAAGAAGATACAAGTGCAACATAAAAACTACCAACAACAGAAAGAACAGGACTCATCACCTTGTAATCCTTCAACCACGCAGCAATAGCATCAGGTTCGACATGATCCTTAAGATACTTTTGATCATCAGTGCCCATTATTACGATCAAAGGTGCCTGTTCGGGCTTCAGTCCAAAATACTGCAATCAAAGACAAAATGAATGTTCAACATGTCTTTCTATGTGATCATGGGGGTAAAAATAATACACTAATCAGATAGCTGAATATTTTTTAACTAACCTCAAAAGCACCTTCACCAGCCTCAACATCACCCAAGCGAAAGCTCACTCCTTCCCCCTTATAAAGCTTGGCAACATCGTTGTACTTGGACTTAAAAGCCTCAAGCTCAGAGCTGAAGTTCACAAATAGCAAGGCCTGCAAATTTGCAGATGTAAAATGGATTAAAAAAAATTAGTACCTTAAATTTGAAGTTAATCTTACAAAATTATAATGATACCAAATTTAGAACTGCAAAAAAACATTAAAAGCATACTGGTACCAAATATCACGTCAAAATGCAGCATTACAGCTCGCAGAATCAAGTACCTCGGAATTGGTGCCATCAAAAAACTTGTTAACATACTCATTGTTATTTGGGTCATTGTCAAAAACAGTAACAACAGGAATACTAGCTTCTGCAATGAACTTCTCCATAGCATCAACTTGAAAATCCTGCAAGAGAGGCCAATTAAAAGATAACATAAGGCAAGACTTCAGCTTCGTAACCATGACACAAATGAGTATCAAAGAGACAATATAACACAGAGATAACAGCAATACCTCAAAATCAACAAAGAGTTCATCAAATGCCTTTAGAAGACGAAGAGTGGGCTTATCGACTGGACCACCCCGAGGGAGGAGTTTAGCATCAACAGTGTGAGCAAAATTGATCTCAGCTCGTAGTTTTTCAGCTAGTGTTAGATAGTTCTCAAATTTTTCTCCAGAGGCTTCTGGAAATATACCAACCTAAAGAAATATAAATTGGTTTTCAGACAGCAAGAATCTATGGCATATGTGAGAATAAATTTCTGTAATGAGAAGTGAGGAAACAATCAGCCAGAAGTAATCACCACTTACAACAAAGATCTTTTTCTCATCAATAAGGTTTGCAGCATCCTCCTTCGATTTGATTTCAGGAGATGCAGGACCCACTTGTTTCTTCAAATAGGCTACAATACCATCAGCTTCACGAGGTCCGTTATAATCTTGAACTTTCTTTCCTCCATCCCGCAAGATCTTAATAGTAGGGAAACCCTGGATCTCATACTGCGTTGCAAGTGCTCTATTTGCTTCATCACTAGCATCATACTTAGCTAGAACAATTGGAGGATCGTGACTGCTCAACTCTGCGGCAGCTTTTTCATACTGCAAAAGAAAATAATTTACCATAAATCAGTGACAAAGTTTGAAAATGCCAAATAAAAGTATAAGGAAGGAGATAGTATAGTACCTCAGGAGCAAGACTCTTACAGTGCCCACAGCTATTATCGGAAATAGATTATCAGATGCTTATAAAATATAAAGAGGTTGGACATTGTTCATTACACAATTGAATCTACATTTGATACTTCTTTTGCTGATACACTCAAAATAATCACAGGTTTGAAGGCATTTAAAATCCAATTTGAAGATTTGTACAGACCTAAAGTTAGTATTTCACACCAAAGCATAACCAAATAAGCATTTTAACAACACTATATAACCATGAAAATTGATTATCAAAACCATAGGAAAGATCGAAATTAACGTCAAGTTGTTAATCCAGCCATCTCAAGCATGTTACGTCCTCAAGTCATATAGCTTGAGTCAAGATATCTAGGATAATAGGATTCTTTTTACAAATTTGGACTAGATTTTTGCTTGTAGACAGGTACATGCAAATCTCCTTCAATCTCACAATTTTATATCTTTTATGAAAACTTCCGAACACCTCCATCACATGGCTCAGGAAGCGGCTCGGGAACGCCACCCTCTCAAGGAGGCGGTGGCCATGGAGGAACGCCTGCCAAGTGGAGGGGGGCGTCATAATCCCAGTCCACCTCCTCCTTCTGGAGGTCGTGGAGGTGGTCACTATCCCTCCCCTCCAACTTTTCGTGGAACCCCTCCAAGTACCCCTACTACACCCATCCCACCAACTACTCCTATCATTGGCACAGGCACGCCAAGCACTCCTGACGTCTCCATACCATCACCTCCATTTGACCCCAATTCACCACCTTCTAGGGGTGGTTACTATCCCTCCCCTCCAACTTATGGTGGAACTCCTCCAAGTATTCCTACACCTAGCACCCCGTCCACACCAACCATTGTAACCCCACCAACTACTCCTATCATTGGCCTAGGCACTCCGAGCATTCCTGGGATATCCACGCCTTCAGCTCCATTTGACCCCTATTCACCACCTTCGGGCAGTTACAACTATCCCTCCCCTCCAATTTTTGGGGGAGGCCCTCCAAGTTTTCCCACACCTAGTACCCCCGGTTTTCCCACAATTCTAACCCCACCAACTTCTCCAATCATCAATCCAGGCATTCCAACCACTCCTGGTATTTACATACCTCCACCTCTATTTGATCCCAACTCACCACCTTTCCCGCTCGAGTAAGCGAATTGTGTCATCAGCTTTACATAGTCAATTGCAATATATACTAACATGAAATGTTATGAATTGCAGTTACTGGAGGACTAACCCGGCTCTAATATGGGGCTTGTTTGGCTGGTGGGCAACTGTTGGTAGCGCATTTGGTGTGGCTAGTACTCCAGGGTTCGGGGGGAACTTGAACCTGCTGCAAGCACTTTCAAACCCTCGTGCCGATGGCGTTGGGGAACTCTACAGGGAAGGAACAGCTTCTTTGCTGAACTCCATGGTGAGCAAGAATTTTGCTTACAGTACCAAACAAGTTAGGGATAGTTTTGTTGCAGCACTCAGTTCAGACAAGGCTGCAGCAGCTCAGGCGCGGATATTCAAGTTAACCAACGAGGGTCGACTCAAGCCCAAAGCTTGAAAAACTCATATTTCCATAGTCCCTGTGTATCTTGATATGTCCAATTTCAAACTTGTGATTTCCTGTGAGTTCGCTTTAGGGTTGAATCTTAATGTCTCAAGAGGATACCAACTTATGATCAGGTATATGTAAATTATTACTTTGATGTGCTGTGTGTTAGATTGCCTTATGCAGATTTCAGAAACATTTGAATGTCTTCTTTGTAAAGAAATCATATTTCCAAATAAAATAAAAATGTAGTATTGTATTAGATCAGCGTGCTGTGTTCCAGAATCTCCACAAGAACTTTGTAGTTTTGTCAAATTTAATAAACCTTAATTGACCAAAGTTGAAAAGAGAGACAAGCACATGTCATACAACCACCTATAAATTGGAAAAGAACTTGTCGTCGCTAGATGATCTTTCTTCAACAAAGTTTACCGATAGGAGAAAAATAATTAAGCAGTAGAATTGACAATATTGTATCTATTGTACGCGGCTTCCGCTATGTAGGGAATCTGGGGAAAGAATTGACCATATTTTATCTATTATATGCAGCTTTACCTTGTATTTCTGCAAGAAGCTGTTTCTGTAGCTTGAACCTGTAACCTGCGAAAACTCCCCTGGTCACAAAAAAGGAGCACATGAAAACAAATGTAATGTTTTCTCTCATTGTAGTGTTCGTTCATAAACCAAACTCCAAAACAATTATCCATAATTGCACGTGCATTATTTGTGTCCGGATGATAATCCAAGACTTTTACCTCTTCAAATAAGCTGTTAAAAGTAAAAACTTGCAGTGCAACCATAGTCGATGTAAGAAAACTCTGTACGAAAAGGGTGACATAAGATACATTTCTCATTTCAGAGACATTTTCATTAAGTTAATTACCCAAGCTCTGTGCAAGTCATTGGTTTGCATCACCTAATCAGTCACTTTTCCAAAAAAAAATCATTCATGTTTTAACTTGCACAAGTAGATGACAACAGTTTGATCCAAAAAGTTCAAAAAAATTACTTACTATATTCACAAGGTTATTACAACAACAACAACCCAGTAGAATCCCACTAGTGGGGTCTAGGGAGGGTAGAGTGTATGCAGACCTAACCCCTACGCCGGAGGGGTGAGGTTATTCTTGTAAGTTATTTCCTATGTGTATATATGGCCCAATAAGATTAGGCCCATAATTAGTATTTAATTATTGAGCAAATCTCATCCGTCCGATCGGTTACTTGATGGACGTACCGGATTAAGTGAGAACCTCTATAAATTGGTCCTCTCCCCACCCATTAGGGTTACCGTATTTTATTTCTTTCTTCCATCTCTAAAGGCGGCGGTAACGTAAAGTTAGGGCAAGGGGCGAGAAACAAATTTTGAATTAACGCTTCCGCTTCACGATGATGGCTCACGATTCAGGTATGTTTTCTGTAACGATTTCATGTAAGATTATCATGTTCAAGATCCTGGTATGCAATTAAAGTTTATGCTTACATGTGGTATCATGAGCATGGATATTTGAACTGATAATCTTCGTTTACTAGTACGATTGAACGAGAAGTGAGTTTTGCTATAACTATATTTCTTTCTCAATCCTTCGCTTTATTGATATTGTACTGGTTTGATTCTCGGTTGATATCATATGATATTTGAAGCTTATGATTCAACAGAATAGGAGTTATGGCAAGTGTATATTCTTAAATTCCTTTCATTGAACGTGGTGGTGACTTATTGTTTGTTTACATGATGATCGTATTGTCCCTAATTATTATCCATATCAGTTTCAGCCTAGATTGTTCGTAATACGTTTATATTTTGTTAAGATTTTGACTACAAAAATTATTGTTACTTTCTAGGTCATAAAAGTAAAGTTACGGTATCTTAGGGACATTGAGGAAATAAAGTTTTACTCCTAAAAAGTTTTCTTGAATGCTAAGTTTCACGGAAATCTCACAATATGCATTAATTATGATTTGGTTCTTACATTGTGTAATGACTAATGTATTTGTTTTGAAGTTATATAGAAAGTTTAAAATATATACATACATAATATTTGTATTTTATGCATATACTAATGTTCATATAGTTTGTTAGTCACCAAAGTGATCAAACTAGAATGTTTTAAAATATTCACATGCATAAAATTTTTTGATGCTTATTTTATGTGTGCATTTATGTTTATATAGTTTGATAGTCGCCAAATTGGTCAAACTAGCATGTTAATCAAAAGTATGCATACATAAAATTGTAGTTTATCCATAAAATTAATGAAATGCCTATAATTAAAAATTAGTGGATAAATTAGTTTTCACTATTGCTAGAACTTAAGGATTTACCCAAAGGTGAATCAATTATTCTATGAATAGTGAATATGATGAGGTAAATTAATATTCTTAGTCAAATATATATTGTGTGTCCAAAGATGGCATATATATTTGGTTAAAAATATTTAATTACTTATTAAAGACTAAATGGCATTTAAATTATGATAGTTTGTCGTAGTATTTACCCAAAGGAGAATTGCAATATGCTTTAACTGTTTTGTTGAATCCATATTGATTTGTGAGCATGTATTATCTATTTTGCAGCTATTCCTTTTCATTCGCTTGCTTCGTCTGTTACTGTGTTCAACGGATTGAACTTCTCTGAATAGCGTGAACAAGTCCAGTTCCACTTAGGTGTGATGGATCTTGACTTGGATCTGCTAAATGATAAGCCCGCTCTCATTACTGAATACTGATTCGAGCAGTGCGGATGAGAAGTCTTTCCACAAAGCGTGGGAACGCTCTAACAGGCTAAGCCTTATGTTTATGCGAATGAATATCGCTAACAACATTAAGAGTACTATTCCACAAACAGAAAGTGCCAGGGAATACCTGAAGTTTGTGGAAGAGCGTTTTCGTTCTGCACATAAGTCTCTCGCTGGTACACTAATGGCTGAACTCACGACCATGAAGTTTGATGGGTCGCGTAGTATGCAAAATCATATCATCGAGATGACTAACATTGCAGCAAGACTTCAGACCTAGGGGATGAAAGTGGATGACTCCTTCTTGGTTCAATTTATTCTGAACTCGTTACCTCCTGAGTATGGACCTTTTCAAATCAACTATAACACTATTAAGGATAAGTGGAATGTTAGTGAATTGTCCAGTATGCTTACTCAGGAGGAGTCAAGACTTAAGAAACAAGGGAGTCATGCAATTAACCTCATGGGTCAAGAAGCTGGTAAAGGACTTAAAGTGAAGGCCAACAAGTTCAAGAAAAAGAAAGCACCTGCTAAAGCTCAACAGGATGCTAACAAGGAATATAAGGCATGTCGTTTCTATAACAAGGAAGGACACTCTCAGAAAGATTGTCTGAAACGTAAAGCTTGGTTCGAAAAGAAAGGTACAATTAGTGCTTTTGTATGTTTCGAATCAAATTTAGTAAAAGTTCCTAATAATACTTGGTGGCTTGATTCTGGTGCAACTGCTCATGTATCTACTACGTTGCAAGGATTCCTTACGATCCAAACTACAAATCCAAATAAGGATTTCTTGTTCATGGTTAATCGTATGAAGGCTCCAATTGAAGGCATAGGGACTTATTGTTTGATCATGGAGACTGGACGTCACCTTGATCTATTACAGACTCTTTATGTACCTTCAATTTCTAGGAATTTGATTTCTCTTTCAAGACTTGATATTTCTGGATTTGATATAAGGTTTGGAAATGGATGTTTCAGTTTATATAAGAATGCTATTTTTTATGGTTCTGATTTTCTTAGTGATGGTTTACATAAGTTGAAACTCGATATTAGTTTTTCTGAATCCCTTCTTACTGTTCAACATAATGTTGGAATTAAACGTAGTTCACTAAATGAAAGTTCTGCTTACTTATGGCATAGACGTTTGGGTCATATATCCAAAGAAAGGTTAGAAAGATTAGTAAAGAATGAGATTCTTCCGAATCTAAATTTTATTGATCTTACTATATGTTTGGATTGCATTAAGGGAAAGCAAACCAAGCATAGTAAGAAAGGTGCCACAAGAAGCACCCAGCTTCTTCAAATTATACACACCGATATTTGTGGACCCTTTGATGTTCCATCTTTTGGTGGAGAAAAATACTTTATCACTTTTATCGATGATTTTTCACGTTATGGATACATCTATTTGCTGAAAGAAAAATCTCAAGCAACAGATGCTCTCAAAGTGTTTGTTAATGAGGTTGAAAGGCAATTAGATAAAAAGGTGAAAATCATTAGGTAAGATAGAGGTGGTGAATATTATGGAAAATATAATGAATCAGGACAATGTCCAGGTCCATTTGCAAAGTTCCTCGAGGAACGTGGCATATGTGCACAGTATATTATGCCAGGAACACCTCAACAAAATGGTGTTGCAGAAAGGCGTAATCGAACACTTATGGATATGGTTAGGAGCATGATAAGTAATTCCTCATTACCCAAATCATTGTGGATGTATGCTCTTAAAACCGTTGTATATTTATTAAACAGGGTTCCTAGTAAGGCAGTTCCAAGGAAACCTAGTTTAAGGCACCTGCATGTTTGGGGTTGCCCAGCGGAAGCTAGAGTTTATAATCCACAAGAAAAGAAACTAGATTCTCAAACAGTAAGTGGTTACTTTATTGGTTACCCAGAGAAATCTAAAGGGTATGTGTTTTACTGTCCAAACCATAGTTCGAGAATTGTTGAAACCGGTAATGCAAGATTCATTAAGAATGGTGAGGTTAGTGGGAGTGTCGAAAAGCAAAGTGTGGAAACTAAAGAGGTAAGGGTCAATATTTTATTACCCGGAAATGTGCCTACTTCCACACAAATACCAAATATTGTTCCAATTGTTGAAGAACATTTTGACAACATCGAGCAACATTTAGATGAAACACTTCATGAAGAAACTAACTCACAAATATCTGACATAAATGAACCACAAGAAATGCCATTAAGAAAATCTCAAAGAATTAGAAAATCGGTTATTTCGGATAATTACGTGGTTTGTTTGCAAGAGTCAGATTTTGACATCGGTCTTAATAAGGATCCGGTTTCATTTTCACAATCCATAGAAAGTAATGAGCCTTGACAAATGGATTGATGCCATGAAGGAAGAGTTAAAATCTATGGAATACAATAAAGTCTGGGATCTTGTTGAATTGCCAGAAAGTTCTAAAAGAATCGGGTGTAGATGGATCTTTAAGACCAAACGCGATTCAAATAGCAATATTGAGAGATACAAAGCCAGACTTGTTGCCAAGGGTTATACTCAGAAAGGAGGCATTGATTATAAAGAGACCTTTTCACCGGTCTCAAAGAAAGACTCGTTAAGAATTATCATGGCTTTGGTGGCTCATTATGATTTAGAGTTACACCAAATGAATGTGAAAACTGCTTTTCTTAATGGAGATCTCGAGGAGCAAGTTTATATAGACCAACCAGAGGGTTTCGAAACTAAAGAAAAAGGTCAAATGGTGTGTAAACTGAAGAAGTCAATATATGGACTTAAACAAGCCTCACGACAATGGTATATAAAGTTTAATGATACCATAACATCTTTTGGATTTGTGAAAAATACCGTTATCGGTGTATATACCAAAAGATCAGTGGGAGCAAGTTTATATTTTTAGTCCTATATGTTGATGATATTCTACTTGTTGCTAATGATTTAGGCATATTGCGTGAGACTAAAGATATTCTCTCTAAGAATTTTGAAATGAAAGATATGGGTGAGGCATCATATGTGATAGGAATAGAAATATTCCGTGATAGATCACAAGGATTATTGGGATTGTCTTAGAAAGGCTATATCGAAAGAATTCTAGAGAGATTTAATATGAACAATTGTTCAGCAGGAATTGTTCCAATTCAAAAAGGGGACAAATTTAGTCTCATGCAATGCCCTAAGAATGATGTAGAACAAAAGGAAATGGAATCAATTCCTTACTCTACAATTGTTGGTCGTCTGATGTATGCTCAGACTTGCACAAGACCGGATATTAGTTTTGCGGTCGGAATGCTAGGGAAGATATCAGAGTAACCCAGGAATTGATCACTGGAAAGCTGCAAAGAAAGTTTTGAGGTACCTGAAAGGAACGAAGGATTACATGCTCATGTATAGGAGATCCAAGCATTTGGAAGTTGTTGGATACTCGGATTCAGATTTCGCTGAATGTATTGACACTAGAAAATCCACGTTTGGTTATTTGTTACAATTAGCTAAAGGAGCAATATCGTGGAAGAGTGCCAAACAGTCTGTTATTGCTACATCCACGATGGAAGCAGAATTTGTGGCATGTTTTGAAGCCATTCATGCATTATGGCTGCGAAACTATTTCAGGACTTGGGGTTGTCGACACCATTACCAAGCTGCTGAAAATTTATTGTGATAATTCTGCAGCAGTATTCTTCTCCAAGAATGATAAGTACTCCAAAGGTGCCAAGCATATGGAATTAAAGTACTTTACCGTCAAGGAAGAAGTTCAGAAACAAAGAGTGTCACTTGAGCATATTAGAACAGATCTCATGATTGCAGATCCGTTAACGAAAGGTTTACAACCAAAGATATTTAAAGAACATGTACATAAAATGGGCCTTGGCTGTATTTATGACTGATGTATTTATGACGTTTTGACACTCTAAGCTCATTTATATGTTTCTGATATACATTAGCGATTTCCTGTTTCTCATAATGGTGTACACATTATTGTTTTGAGATGTTACAGGATAAGTCTCAATGAGACATTATTGTGGACCATAATATTTTATAGTTTATGAACCTGATACGATAAATTACTAATGTTGTAGTATACGGAAGGGAGTATGTAGACAAATTATATATGACCGCCATAACTCACATTTACTAGTTTATCGTATTGTGGTATTTATGATGGACATTATAGAAGAGATTTGTTTATGCGCAACTAATGTTCCTATATTAAATATTAATATTATGTGATTATTGGGCCAAGTGGGAGAATGTAAATTATTTCCTATGTGTATATATGACCCAATAAGATTAGGCCCATAATTAATATTTAATTAATGAGCAAATCTCATTCGTCCGATCGGTTACTTGATGGACGTACCGGATTAAGTGAGAACCTCTATAAATTGGTCCTCTCCCCACCCATTAGGGTTACCTTATTTTATTTCTTTCTTCCATCTCTAAAGGCGGCGGTAACGTAAAGTTAGGGCAAGGGGCGCGAAACCAATTTTGAATTAACGCTTCCGCTTCACGATGATGGCTCGCGATTCAGGTTTGTTTTCTGTAACGATTTCGTGTTCAAGATCCTGGTATGCAATTAAAGTTTATGCCTACAATTCTATCTGCTAAAACAACAAAAACTGAAACCACTAAACAACAACCTGTGATTAGTGAGTGCATATCAGATTCCAGTTTTAAACTTCATCATACCAGTTTGATTCTGGTTTTTTAAGGCACATCAATGGCTTAAAACAAATAAATAATCAATGTCTAAAGGTAATAAAGCAAACAAAAGATTCAGTGGTCTTAATGAGATCTTGAAAAGATTGCTCAATGAGACATCGTGAATTTTGATTATGAGCAGCAGGTTTGGCAAAAAGCAACCCCACAATATTAAAGAAGCAATTGTACAACATTGCTTTAACATAAACTGCAAGAGTCTCTTTTCATGGGCCTCTAGTTGAAAACAAAAGAAGCACATAAAAAAACTCTTTGTGGTGTTCGGGTCAACTTGCGAGTACCTAGCACAAATTCCACAAGACTCTTTGTGGTGTTCGGGTCAACTTACGAGCACCCGGACTAATTCCAAAAGACTCTTTATGGTGTTCGGGTGAGCTTGCGAGCACCTGGACTAATTCCACCAGGCACATGTTACTTCCCACCAATAACAATATCCACTAAGGCTTACACATAAAAAGACTACAACAGAACTCTACACAAATTATATCGAAATGGACTCACTAGTTTAATTTGCAGATCAAGACCATTTGAAGTTTTGATTTTATTTCGAAAAAAAAAGGAACTTGATCACGATTGAGAAAATTTGCGACAATTTTATGTTCCAATTAACCAGTAAAAATCAACAAACAAACGTTGACCTACAACAGACTGTCCCAGAAATAAAAAACCATTAACTCGCCATAACACAAAACACAAAAATAAATCTAATTAAGAGTTATCACAATTTAAAAAACAGAAAAACAGCAGATATAGAAGAGGAAAAGGGGAAAATTACCAAAATTCAACGACGGTGAAGTTGTGCTTGGCAATAGTATCAGTGAGGTTAGAATGGTCCAAGGTCAACACATACTCCTTTTCCCCTTCTGCAGCAACACAAACTGCAAGAAGAAAGGCTGCTACAATTACCAAAATGCCCCTCATTTCTCTCCTCCTCGTACTCAATGATCTCCCTCTGTGTCTGAAGTTGGTGTGAGTCATGCTCCTAAGATTTTTATATTTATAAAGGAAAAAAAAGAAGTTGTAGTTGAATGTGCCATGTCAGCATTTAATTATTACGTGTAAAGTAGTGATTGGTATGTATGTGTCAATGCGTGGAGGGTTGTAATTATAAAGTGTACATATTTTGGAAATCCTATTCTGAATATTGTTTTTGTCTTGTTATTTATTAGGCGTGAAAATGCGAAAAATGTGAAAATGATCTGTCATTTTTAAGTATGTTTTTAAAATACATTTATTTAACCATTTATTTAAAGGTTTAATCAATTTCGCTCAAGATTCAAATTTCAAGACATTGTGTCCTAAAGTTCAAAAATTGTGTCAAAAATTTTGAATCTTAAGTCCTAAATTTTTAATTAGCAGTTCAAAAATTCAGGACATTTAGTCCTGAATTTTAAATTAGCATTTTAGGACACTTACGATGTGTTTGTTATGAAGTAGGGGTGTTCAAAACCGAACCGAAACCGAAAACCGAACCGGAACCGAATCTTAATGGCTTATTGGTATCGGGTTAACGGTTTAACGGACGGGGAACGGATTGAAATTTTTTCATTAATGGCTTATCAGTTTGGGAGCGGATTATTCAATTTTCTTAACGGATAATCCGTTAACCCGTTAAGAATATATATATATATATATTAAATAATCAAAACCATTATTCCACTTCCAGTTCTCTATCTCTATTATTTATTANTATATATATATATATATATATATATATATATATATATATATATATATTTATATTACGGATAAACCGAACGCGTTTCCTTAATTCTTCTATCCTTTTTCTTAATTTTGAGTTGGTATTATTTGAAACAAAAAAGAAAGGACTTTTTTTTTTCAATTCTTTTATTTTCTTTATTGTCTTTTTCCTATTCTGTGAAGAATTAAGTCCAGTCACAGATTATATAGGCACTGTATTCAAATTGGAATTTTTTTCGTCGGTATAGTTTGAATTAGGCCGATAAACCGCCCGATAAGAGCTAAACCGATACCAATCCGTCCGATATCTTATCGGGTGGCTAGCGGATTAATACATTTAAAAGCCGATAACGATAAGCCAAACCGTTAAGAGTAAATAACTGCCCAATCCGCCCGATAAGCAGCCCTAGTATAAAGGGAAATGTTTTTCAAAAATTATTTTTTGATTTCTCCATGTTTGGCTTGAATAATTTGGAAATATTTTCTTTATGAACTCATTTTCTTCCAATTGGAGGAAATATTTTCCCTATCAAAAGAAGAGGAAACATTTTCTAAGGACCCGTTTGGCCATAGATTTTGCCAAAATAAATTTAAATTTTATTTGGCAAACACATGTTTGGCCATAGATTTTGCCAGGCTAAAATATCACTATTATATTTTTTAAAAATTACCCCAAACTTTTGTATTTTATAAAAGAGCCCACCATTTATTATTTTGTAACAGTGTGTTTCGTCTTCTCGGTCATCTGATAGTGTATTATGTAATTCATTATAAAAATAATAATTTTGTATCAAATTTATTTATGTTCAGGACTATGATTTGCGATAATATAATGAATGTTATTGATAATGGTACTGTTGGATATTTGTGATAGTTTTTAGAACTTGTGGTTATAAGTCATGTTTCATGTTTTTCCAAAATAAATTTGGGAAATATGTTTTGAAAATTGATGTCCAAACAGATTTTCATCTTCAAACCAAACTTCACCCAAATCAAAATTTTCAAAACAAATTTGGGAATCTATGGTCAAACGCTAGCTAAAACTCATTTTCAATTATCCTCATCCTATTCCCCACCCCGCCAACCCCCACCCTCACACCTCCATCCAGTCGTACCCCACCCCTACCTCCACCTAGTGTTTTAAAAGGCGATGGTGTGAGGCGAGGCGTTTTACTTAATATTGGGCGAGGCAGAAGCCTCGAGACATGGGGTGCGAGCCCCGCAGATCTTTAATTTTTTAAATTTATGAATTAATAATATAGCATTATAACACAAAAAATATAAACGATATATTAAAAGTTCAAGAAAACAAAAAAGAATTAAAGAAACTCATATAAAATAAAATATCTAGCATGTTTTACAAGTATAAATAATACAATATTCTAAAAGTTACTATAAAATATAAATTAACTACAACGTCTTAGCTTTCGAATAATTAAAAATTATAATTTTTTAAAAATATTATCAAACTGCATATTTTACCTTCTTAAAGGTAAATACTCACTAAATTTGATCAACACTGTAATTTAACATATTCCTCTGTCATGAGTAAATACAAAATTACTTTTACATAGTAAATAACAAATATATAATAATTTTGAGAGACATAGAACTAAGGCATGAAGGTCTATCAAGTAAAGATATAAATCTTAGTTATCTATTTTCAGAGAGGAAATACCCAAACGATATTATGTCACGACCCTGATTTTTCACCCTCGGGAGTCGTGATGGCGCCTACTAGTGAAAGCTAGGCAAGCCAATTATTCCGATTAATTTACCCTTTTTATTTTTTTAACCTCTTAACAAGCGCAAGTTAACAAATTATAAACAGCATAAATAATAAAGCGGAATAACGAAATTTAACAATTAAACTAATACCAGTACGTGTCCATAACATAAACCACCCAGAACTGGTGTCACAATCTCACGGACTATCTAGGAATACTACAAATAGTGTCTCCACTATCCCCATGTTCCGAAGAACCTCATGACAACTGTCTAAGTAATCCTAGGGATCATTTGAAGATGTACCACCATAAGTAGTAGTTAACAGCTTGGTGAACCTGTCCAACCTCCACAAAGCATAGGTAGACATAGTTGTTCCATCACCGGTCTGAGCTACTATACCCGGCTGAACTGCTCCAACTGGCTGAGCTGCTGGAGTCTGAAACCGGGGAGCCCTCTGCTCCGGAGTGCGGGTAGCGGGAGTCTGTACTCCTCCCCAGCCTGAGAGACGTCTAGTGCTACAGGAAGCAAGCCTGCCTGAGTGACACTCTCCATAGGGCCCACTAGACAGACCAGAGCATCCGAGTACCGGGGTAGCAATGAACCCCTTTAGGACCTGAGCTGGGCCCACCGGAACTGTCTGGGCCGGAACCTCATCATCAACCTCTACTTGAGGCTCCACCGCTGGTGCTGCTGCTCTGGCCTGAGCTCTGCCTCTACCTCGACACCTAGCACGGCCTCGGCCTCGTCCTCTGCCCCTCGTGGGAGCTGCTGCTGGGGGCTCGGGCTGCTGGTCAGCCGATAAAGAAGCACGTGTTATCGCCATCTGCAAAAGAACAGAGTAGAAGTTCGATTAGCATTGAGAAACCGAATCACACGACAGAGAAGAATAGAAGTGAAACTGTTCCTAACTCTGTAGCCTCTGGGGATAAGCACAGACGTCTACCGTCTAGACTCCTCAAGTCTCTACCAAGCTNGGCAAGTTCAGAAATTGCGAAAATAGGAAATTGCATCCGTGAAAGTATTATGGCAGAATCAACAAGTTGAGGAAGCCACTTGGGAAGCCGAGGATGAATAAAAAAGAGTACCCGCATTGTTTGAATAGTCATGTAATAGCTTTTTTATGCATTTGATTCCTACGAACTCTTATCTTGTGAATTAATAGAAACCGAATCACACGACAGAGAAGAATAGAAGTGAAACTGTTCCTAACTCTGTAGCCTCTGGGGATAAGCACAGACGTCTCCGTACTGATCCCTCAGACTCTACCAAGCTTGTTCGTGGATTGTGAGACCAAAGTAACCTAGAGCTCTGATACCAACTTGTCACGATCCGGATTTCCCACCCTCGGGAGTCGTGATGGCGCCTACTAGTGAAAGCTAGGCAAGCCAATTATTCCGATTAATTTACCCTTTTTATTTTTTTAACCTCTTAACAAGCGCAAGTTAACAAATTATAAACAGCAGAAATAATAAAGTGTAAGAATGAAATTTAACAATTAAACTAATACCAGTACGTATCCATAAACATAAACCACCCAGAATTGGTGTCAAAATCTCACGGACTATCTAGGAATACTACAAATAGGGTCCGAACAAAATAAATACATATCTGTCTCTGAAATAGTAAAGAACAGAAGAAAACTAGATAGGGAGGGGACGCCAAGGCCTGCGGACGCCTGCAGGACTACCTCGGGTCTCCTGATGGACTGAAGGCAACAACCCCTAGCTAAGGTCTGTATGCTCCAGTACCAGGATCTGCACAAAAGAGTGCAGAGTATAGTATCAGCACAACCAACCCCATGTGCTGGTAAGTGTCGAGCCTAACCTCGGCGAAGTAGTGATGAGGCTAGGACACAACAAATAATTAACCACACAGTATCTAGCAGAACAACAGTAACAACAGTAATGCAAAAGTAACGGGCGAGGGGTAACATGCTATGGGGGAAATACCAACATAAATAATGACAGTGATAGTGGAATAAGACAATTAAGGCAATTGAACCGAAAACAGCAAGAAATCATAACAAACAGGCAATAAGTGCACGACATCACCCTTCGTGCTTTTACTCTCAATCCTCACCAATGCAATCAAGTAATGAAAATGTGCACGGCATCACCCTTCGTGCTTTATATCTCTTCCTCGCCATGTAAATATTAGAAATGTGCACGGCATCACCCTTCGTGCTTTAAAACTCTTATTCACGATATGCATCAATATCAATGTAAATGTACACGACATCACCATTCGTGCTTTATCACTCTTTCCTCGCCATATGCATAAATATGAATGTGCACGGCATCACCCTTCGTGTTTTATCACTCTTTCCTCACTATATGCATAAATATGAATGTGCACGGTATCACCCTTCGTGCTTTATCACTCTTTCCTCTCCCAAACAATAGCAACAACAATATCCCGGCAAGGGAATCAACAATAAGTATAAATATGTCCCGGCAAGGGAATCAACAATAAGAATTAAATACGTCCCGGCAAGAGAATCGGCTATAACCAAACTTGTACCAATAATCAACTTCACAAT